GGCAGGCAGGCAGGCAGGCAGGCAGGCAGGACGCAGGCAGGCAGGCAAACATTTGACTGTCAATCGATTTTTCGGTAACATGGACCCACCCGAAACTTGTAATCTGACAACACAACGTGCTAGACTAGTAGTTTACGTCACAAGCAGGCGATTCTCGCAGGAGTCGCCATCGCTACGCTCGTGTTGCTCGTGTCGCTCGAGCGGGAATAACCTTGCGCTCGTGTTGCGTATACATTTTTTTAACACGCCGTGTGCGAAACGCAATGTTGTCAAGAAAAGGAATGTAAATTAAACATCAAATAATTAGAAATACCTTAGTTGTACAAAAGTAAATGGATTCCAATCAGTGTCCTATCACCTGTTTGTGAATAATAAACAAAGATGTTGTCAAGACGAAAGACAATTACGAGTCCTTACAGATGTTTCGCACACGCTTCGCGATGTTTAGAACACTGAAAAGATAAGCTGTTTCGGACACGGAACAAACAAGCACGAGAAAACGCGCTTCGCAAACAGAAAAAAAGCACTAGAAATCGCTTTTGCGCACGGCGTGCTGCGCCGTGCTAAAAAAGTAATTTACTACACTAAAAATAGTATTTATCCACTTTCTCGTTACCAGGGTCGGACAAAACGAGTTCTGCTGAAATATTCCCGATCTCCGCTGCAGGATTACAATCCTTTCTCTTTATTATGTAAGTAAGAAGTACGGTAAGAAATAAAATATTAGCATTTTCACACATGGAAAACAACCACAAGAAAGCGTGTTTCGCGCCAGGCGTGTCCGAACCCTTTTTGGTATCAGGGACTCCCATAACGTGTGTTTCCGTTAAAATTTCGTTAAATCATTTTTTGCAGTGTTGCATAACTTTCTTTACCACACGTATATGAAAAGGTAAAAAAACGAGTTTTATGCACCTTTAACTCGAGATACAACTGATACACTGTCACATCAACTGTCACTGCAGTACTCACATGTTTCTCAAACCTTTTTTGTGCGGGACTCCATATCGTGGCTTAAAGTCCAGTACCCTACGAAATTAATGTCACAAGACGTAAAGAAAAAGAGGGAATAACACAAAGAATTTCTAAAAACAGTTAGTTTGTAGTTCTTATCTGAAATACGTCATGAAGGCTTTTTACTCATAAAGAAGCCGTCAATTATTATCTTTCTTTACTCACAAAGCAAATTTGCAGTTAACTTAATGTTAGAAATCTCAACAACCCACTTCTCTTCAAGAGTATTCAACCCTAGCTAACAAAGGCACCCTGTTCCAATCATTATCAGAGAGGCGTAGTCTGTGAGAAAACTGGTTAAAAAATAACTCTTACATTAAAACACTCAATTTATTTGATTGGAAATGTATAATATGGAGTTACAAAATACATTTTAAAGGGTTTTATAGATACACATAAGTGACTTGATCCTCACAACAGACACTTGCTTGGTGATGTCCACACATGGCAGAAGCGTCCGCAAATGTACATCCTTGGGACCTTCGTTATGATCGCCATCATCCCATTATGATTGCTAAATGTTCAGAACAAAACTAAATGCTACCAAGACCAAGGATTTAGCGATTTACTATTACTCGTATACGTACGATACGACGGAGTAATAGATACGTAGTAAAGGACATGCAGATATGACGGACAAATCGATTCGAGATTTCAACGGAAATTACCACGTTTCGAAGTCACCTGTGATACCGAAAAAGGTGAGATCGTTACAAAACGTCCGTCCGTGCTGTCTCCAAGCTGGCGTATCCAAATTGCAAGAAACTCCTGTTCATCTGACCGAGTCACAAACTTTGAGATTTTGAAAAACCATTCTTTAAAATTTGGGGGACTTTTACATGAAGCCCAATTTGGACATTTTTAAAAACTTTCTCAAAATTGCTACAATTTTTCTTTCTTTAATATCATGTAAGAACAGAGTAACAACACGCTTATAAAAGTGGCATGGTCCACTTTTCACGGCTAACTGAATTTTGAATATTTCAAAAGGTTATGATTTTTTTTGGGTACTTCCTACAGACTACGAATTAAGATAGAGAATGTTTCCTTCAATACACATTTTGTTCTAATAGTGATTTCTTTTTTAAGGATCATGTATTTTTGAAAAATTTTAGTAGTTTTTTGCGCAATATTGGCGAGCAATAGGTTGCAATTTTAAAAAATTAACAAAACCTATTTTTCAAAAACGGCTCCACATTTTTCCTTAAACTTTTGGTAGGAATAGTAATTAAATTAACTCTATAAGATGACATTAAACGACATATTTCTCTATATTTTTGTTTGTTTTCAAAAAATTGCATAATGTAATTTTTTTCTTGTTTCTCACGTCGTTAATATTTACATTTAGCGGCAATTTATTATACACTTAATGTTTTTATGAGTGCATGTGCTTTAATAATGTTGATTTACACTTTTCGAAAGCTCAGCCGTAAGAATGAGTTCAAAATTCCGCATTTTATGAAACGCTCTACACACCATATTCTCAAAAACGATCTCCATTTTGTTCTTCCAACTTTACCATAATGTAGTGCTAATTTCAACAATTTCAAAGATGATATACGAATTAATTTTGTTGTATTAATTTGTTTTTTTCAAAAATTACAACAAATTTAATTTTTTGAAAGATCTCTCATGCCTCTAAATGCAAAATTTCCAGCGATTTAGGAACGATATTGCATTTGTGACTTGAAGAGCTTGAAATGTTGTGAAACTTTTTCGAAAACTCAATAGTTTTCTGTGAAAGAGGCTTCAATTTCGAATTTACAGGTCGCGGGTTAAATTGCTATTCCCTTCTAAAACGGTTCTACAATTTTGAAAAAAGTTGCATTAGGACGTGGTTTACTGAACTTTAATTATTATTAAAATATATTTCCTGTTCTATGGGAAGCCGAAAAATTAAGAAGTTTTTAAAAAGAAAGCTCCTTGGGCGGCGAAGAATGGCAGCTGCCAAGAAGTATGTGGCAATTTCGAACAGCTAGCCGAGACAATGGAGATAGAAAACTAATAGTGAAAATTTGTGCCATTGATGTAGCACCACTAAGTTTACAGTTTATAGCCAATAAACACCAAGTAATGTTCACTGAAGTAATTACAAAGGCTTAGTCGACGCACGTGTTAAAACATGGCTTTATATCGTAAACTAGGCACGCGCACAACCATACGTGTATTTCACTGGCTAGTCACACAATTGAAGGTAACAGATTCAAAAAACGGTGAGTGAGGGGAAAGGAGTGAGGAAAGCTTTCGGTACTAGTTGCGTCGTCTGGACAACGATGCCTTTTGAACTCTAGGGTTAAATATTTCATATTGTTTTTTGTTGCACTATGCCTTCATATCTGGACTAGGACGTAATTATTCCGCATTATGCTTGATTTCACATACACATTACTAAAAGATAATTCATAAATCACCCTTAGAGTCATAATTCGCAATATTACAGTGAATGTGTCTGCTAGTTCATTATTTTCCAATTTGCAAAAAGTCTTCCAAATGTTTGTGCTGAAATGCTTCTTTTCCCACTTGGATCAAGTTTAAAAACTATTGTGTTGCCACCAGCCATTAAAGCAGACCAAGCACCATACGTCCCGTAGGAAATGATGGAATGATTGCAAAAAGAAAGTAGTGCCAAATCATTCCTGTAATCTTCAGATCCACACCAACTCACAGTAGCGTTGCAACTGGACAGCCCCATGAGTTGTAAGTTCATTTCAAGCTCTGGGATGAGAGTCTTTCTGGTCCATTTCATATCGTCGCTTGTAACAGCAAACACCACTTTCGAATTTCCATTCTTGTTTGTACGTCGCAAAATATATTTCATTGCATGAACATAATAATCTTTGGTCACAACATTTGTCGTTCCAACTTTTTTTTTAAGGTACTTGGGATAATCTGTTCGACGAACATGAACTCCTACATATATCACCTGCAAAGAAGCAAAATTGTTTAATGATTTATTGATAAAAAATCCCTTTTGTGCACAATGTTCTCATCAGTAATGGACTGAGCAAGAATCTGGGAAAATAAATTAAAAAATTAAATGAAAATAAAGTCAAAATCTCATTTATGCATTCGTCGTATCCACAAAGAAAATTAAGTAAAAATACTGTAACCACGTTGTGTCAAAGTATGGTAACCATTAGTAAATTGTCACAATGGTGACTACATTCTTAAAGTTAGTCCTCGAGCAATTCATAATTACCAAAGTTTCTATCATTTCCAACATTACCTTTGATGGTAGAGCAGTATTGTTTAAACTACTGGCTGCTTTCCTCAATGTCTGCCATGCGTAACTCTTGAATTTGCCGATGTATACAAATTCTTGTTTCAGAGAATTTCGTGCCCGATATATTGTTTCAGCCAGTACTGAGTACCGTCTGAAGTCAAAGATATAATAATGGAAATTAAGAACATTATCTGTTCTTTTGCAATCGAAAAAATTAATATTAAGAAACTTTTCATGAATTACGTTTTGAAAGGGAATAAATCAATCAATGTAAACTGAACTATTCATTCACATAGATTCATAAAAATTATTACAGTGTGCTCATATTATATATATCGAGACAGAGAGAGAGGAGAGAGACAAAGAGAGAAGAGAGAGGCAGAGAGAGAGGAGAGACAGAGAGAGGAGAGGGAGACAGAGAGGAGAGAGGCAGAGAGAGAGGGAGAGAGAGGGAAAGAGAGAGAGAGAGAGAGAGAGAGAGAGAGAGAGAGAGAGAGAGAGAGAGAGAGAGAGAGAGGCCACTGTATCGGGCACAATGAGCAAAAAATTTCATGTAAAAATGTGTCTCATTCCAAAAGGTTTCTGAGATAGAGCTGCTTGACTGTACAAAACTACGTCTGTAATACATATACTATTATATGCATTTCTGTATATACATATTTACTCTAACGTTTTGTATTTACTACAGTGTTGTAAAAAGAACTGTAAGTCACCTCTTACAGAATCTATGAAGCACAAAGTGATACGTATATGCAGGAAGCCGACTTCAAGTAACTGGTGTAAAAATGAAATAAAATTATTTCAGAAGCACCTTTCTTTGCACCCTAAATGTGAAAACCTTCTTCTCCCATTTACGACCATAGTTTGCACCTCAAAATTCTTTCCCTAGTAATTACAAAACAAATCCTAGCCCTGTAATCATCAATGTCGCTATCGTAAGATATAAATATTGTTCATGGAGAGTGCTAGATCGAGTTAATTATCTAGAAAATACTCACTTTATAATAATAGGTCCTTTTGATTTCATTTTATTCACATCTCCCAGTGTTGGCAATTTCTGTATATTTTCTTCTCGAAGAAACATCTTTTCAGCAACCTGACCACACATTGGATCTTTTTCGTATAATTCACTTAGAAATCCCGATAAAGGAGTGACTGATAGTTTTGTAAATAATGGAGATATTTCGTTATATATAGTGTCGGCTACAATAGGTGTTAAGCCATTCAATTTAGCTAAGCTCCACACATTTGCATATTCCATTAGTTTGTTCCCCAATCTTCCACCGTCTTGGGCAAATACGATTCTTGCAAGGCAAGTAAAATTATCACTATCTTTTATTTTCACTTTGATATGAGTCCTCGAATTGTCATTTATCTTTGAGAAAGTTTCATTATCTGCATTTATATTAGCTAATAACCTACTTAAGATTTCGCTATTTAATAAGAATAAGATACTGGCGATGAGTGCTACTAATAATCCCACGAAGTATTTTACTCGGTTTCTTAAATTAGACATTCTACAAACGAAGCAATATCTGTAAATGGAAAACAAATGATTATTTGTTTTTAGGAATTATTTGTGGTGTCTTCAGAACTAATATCGTAAGAAAAGTTAGTGCAAGGTAAGGTGACCAATCGTCCTCCTTTTGTAGGTTCTGTCGTTCCTCGAAAAGTGTACACCTTTTCGATACTTTAAAAGTATTATGATAATCTCTGAATTCAGAAATGCCACGCCGAAATGTTAGGCAACTTGTGATGGTACATTTCGGAAAGATGCGATTAGTGTTGCTATATCGGCGGAACTCTCACCGTTTTCAGTAGTTTCAGCTTCAGTACTTCAGATTTTGGTACAAGTTTTGGAACAAGCGAGAAATCAATATTGAATGTTGATACTCCAGCATTCTCCGAAAAATTCAAGATGAAGGATCTTTCTTGTTCCAAACTTTTCAATGTATTATTAGAAAATGATATACTGACATAAATAATCAATGGAAAAATACTCGTTTAATAAAATAATTAAAAGGGATATAAGTATAATTAGTGTATTTTGGTTTTAATAAATATAATGTTTAATTTATTTAGGTTGTACGTTTTCTTAAATTTGTTCGTCCTCCTTTTTATGGCTAAAAATTGGTCACCTTATTAGACAATTTCATGTGTAAGGAAAGAAAGTGACTGTTAAGAGCATATACAAAAAGGTAAAAAATGTACTCTACCTGCAAAATGAAAAACTATAATATTTCCTGTTCCAGTTTGAAAATTTCCTTCCTGTCAACAATTGGCAAAAGTTGGAATTATTTCATTAGGCTGGGAATTTTGCGTACTTGTATGATTTTTTCCTGAAACATAATACAATATACATTTACATATATCAATATACATTTTATTGTGTATATTTCAGGATATTTGTGACGATTGAGTGTAGTTTTACTTTAAGAGCGTATGTTGGCTTATTTCAATGTTTCATATTTTTTAAGTGAAATGCAAACAGCGAGATCGCTTTCGAATTTCTATCTTTTGTGTTTAAATTGCGAGGTAAATTTCATTTCACTGGCATTATCTTGTCGTGTCTGCACGACCGATCTTTTCTGTGGAAAGAAGCTGCATTAAAGCTTGTACCCTTTCTTCTTCTGACGAACGATCTGTTTCATGACGGGTCGCACTCCCTCTGGCCAAGGATTCAGATACGTGAATGCAACTGTAGATTTTCTAAGTTATCTTACCTAAAATAATGGGTATAGTACGCCAGCGCAGAAGAAATTGACATTATATAAACAATATCATTTTGAAGGCATTTTGTTTTTACCTTAGTACACCCACACACAATGACAAAAAAGTGATCCACTCAGAAGGAGTGATCCAATACTAACCATTTCGGTATACATGCATACCATTGATATGTGAGTGAATGATTTGATTTTATATAGCTGCCTCTAAAGGCCCTTTTTGATGATGGAATATGTCACGGCATGTCGCATCTTTCTCTGAATTGTCGCTAGATGTATGTTCGCAAGCACTGCTTGATGCGGTCGCGAGCATGCGACATGTAATGGCGCGATCGAGGAAGACGCGAAATGCCGTGACATAATCCGTGGTGAAGACGGGCATTGAGAGGTAGTTACATAACAATCGCACTACATCTATAATGTGTAGAACGCACACCAGGGTGCATTCGTGATGTCCTGTTGGTGCGCTGTTGTTATCAGCCAACTGCTGTGTCAGACAGTGAAGACCGAAGTGCGACATGATTTGCAACCAGAGGAGGCGCCACACTCTACCGATCTGGTGCCCACCTTCAACCCGTAACTGCCAACTACACTGTCTCTTACATTCCATATTGTAATTACTCACATGATCTTTCAGCATATATAGTTTCATTCACTCTTCCAACCACTCCTTGTGGGCATCAGTTCTTTTTTTTTGACAGGTTGTATTTTGCGGCAAAAACAATCTGGAGGAGGTCAAGACAATTCTAACTATGCGATCTAAACTATGCGATCAAAGGTATCCGGACATGTGGCTGAAAATGACTTACCAGTTCGTGGCGCCCTCCATCGGTAATGCTTGTATTTAATACGGTGTTGGCCCACCCTTATCTTTGATGACACCTTCCACTCTCGCAGGCATACTTCAATCAGGTGCTGGAAGGGTTGGGGGAATGGCAGCCCATTCTTCACGGAGTGCTGCACTGAGGTGATGTATCCATGTGGGTCGATGAGGCCTGGCACGAAGTGGACGTTCCAAAACATCCCGAAGGTGTTCGATACGATTCAAGTAGGGACTCTGTGCAGGCCAGTCCATTACAGGGATGTTATTGTCGTGTAACCACTCCACCACAGGCCGTGCATTATGAACAGGGGGCCGATCGTTTTGTAGGTGCAACCGCCATCCCCGAATTGCTCTTCAACAGCGGGAAGCAAGGTGTTTAAAACATCAACGTAGGCCTGTGCCGTGATAGTGCCACGCAAAACCACAAAGGGTGCAAGCCCCCTCCATAAAAACACGACCACACTATGACACCATTTTGGACGAGTCCGGATACATTTGATCAAATAGTGTATAACTCTGTTATATAGTGAATGATTATTTGGAAATGATGCTAGTAAAATTACGCTGTTTATGCTTTCTGGCTACTATTTACGTAGTGGAAAACGAAAAGTACGAAAGTTGTTTTATTCTGCACTTAAAAACTGTGAATTTTCGGCATAAAACTCTTATTACAGGGCTCTGGTAACGAAAGAGTGTATAAATTAAGTTGCTAAATTAGGAATAAATCCTCTAAGATTCTTCCATGTTTTGTGGGACCTTGATGCCGAAAAATAGAATGGCGGCAAAACGTCTCTCTGTCCGTCCGTTTTTTACATCTTCTCCAAACTTTAATATTCCAGTTGTTTGAAGACGTAGAAAAAAAAACTTTCTCAATTTTTGAAAATATAGAGATGTCAACTAAAATGAGCCCTGCAGTATTTTTAAGTGTCCTATTCGCTATATTGAAGACAAATTTTAATAAAAACTTTGAAACCAATTTACTTTCTCGCTCTTAGTAACGTATAAAAAGTAAGTATTGTAATTGTGCGCCAGAAAAAGAACAAATTTCCGACACAAAAATTCTTAACGGCAGGCCCTGGTAAGGAAAAAGTGGACAAATCCAGTTTCTAAATTTAGGAAAAATATCCTCTAACACTTGCTGTAGCCAGAATAATTGTTTTGAAATCGAAACCACCGAAAAATAGATTGACGGTAAAACTTCGGTCTGTCCGTCCGTCTGTGCACAGCGCTAGTGCTTACCCCGTTCAGCCGATTAACTCCAAAATTCATAAACCTTAATAATTCTAGCTAATGTCGCACACCCAGGAATTTGATCTCGATATTTTTTTTTGGGGGGGGGGGAGGTACTTTACGTGAAGCCCCTGGGACATTTTCAAAAAAATTTTTGATCCAAATTTTTTGTTCAAATTTTTTTGTTGGATAGTGCAAAGGATATTGTAGACAATGGCGCAAATTTCATTTTTGTTCCCGATTTTTCGAAAATTGAAAAAAATTAACACTTTAAAATTGGTAGGATTTTGTCTCATAGTCTGTCGTTAAAAATTTACTCTTTAAAAAAGGTTATGTACAAGTTTTTGGAAAAAAAGAATTGTTTTTGTGTATTTTGCGCTTCAAATTCGGAAAATATTTTTCTCAAAAATCTCTCCAAAGGTTTTCTTTAATTTTTTGTCACTTACGTAATAGTTGACGGTAAAAATATGATACCAGTTCATTTACGCCATGCCCGGTTTCGTGAAAATTAAAAAAAATTAAAACTACAAAATCGAAGATTTTGAAGTTACTAAAGGAAATTACTAAACGACTCGAAGAGATTTTGCTTCGAAGTTTGTGGCACATATTTAGCTCTTCAAAAAACATCATGTACAAAGTTTTAAAAAATCGAGTAGTTTTTTGCGTATTTTGCAATTGAAATTTAGAAAAACAATACTCAAAAAGCGCTCCAAATTTTTCCTTAAATTTTCTCCATATATGTAATAAGGAACGGTAAGAAATATGGCGCTACTCTTTTTCGCGTATTACTCGTTTTTTTCGAAAATTGCAAAAACTTTTCAAAACTTCAAAATTGAAGCTAGAGATTTTTGCCTCAACGTCTGTTGTAGAAAATTAGTTGTTCAAAAAGGTCATGTAGAATTATTCTGCAAATACGAGAAGTTTTGCGTAATTTCTGCTTGAAATTAATGAAATATATACAGGTTTCACAGCGACTACGCTAATAGTTAATTTAATTTTAATTATAATTTCCAAATGAAAATGCCAATATTAATTCTATTTTTCCTTTCTCGCTTTTCTACTTTTTACTAAATGTGCATTCTCAATGTATTGATGTGTTTAGATTTATTTCGTCAATAAACAGTAAAAACTGTATGTGACGTATGGGGGAGTTCATCTGCGAACGTTTTCTTGAGTTCCAGAATCCCATCGCATCATTTTTACTATAAATAATCGAAATATGAGTAAAAGATTTTTATGAAACAAACGAAAATAATAATAATGAAATTTAAAAAAAGCGTGAGATTAGCAACATTTGAAAAACTAGATCTTTTTCGTTCCCGAATCAGAGAAAGCTTATTTGCAACGGTAAACGAACTTCAAATTTGGTTTTTGCTGCACTGCTACTAAAATAGTAACTCACTCTTAGTTCTACGCCTATCACCACAAAGAAAAGGAGGGTTCAACAAAACGTGTGTATAGTGAAGATACATATACGTGCAGAAGCAAAACAACGGGCTATTTCAACTTTTGCTCAATGTATCAGGAAAACTGGACAAAAACCTGATCCAGATGGGGTCATTGTCCTGAAAGCTGAAGTACATTAATTGTTACAAGTATATTAGGTCTTTTAAAAAAATATATTACAAATGTAAAATAATTCATTACATATGACTTTTTATTAAAATAAACATATTTTTCTTTTTGATGATCAGTAAAGTCTTTAATTGTTTAGCAGTTATGCAGCAGAAAATATTTTACTTATAGTTTAAATATATCTACTGGATTTAATTGTTTAATGTCATCTGGGAATGAGT